TTTCCTCATCCCTTCGTTTTTTGTACTTATGTCCAAATGCTAACTTGTGAACTGCTTCATATATTCCATGACTGAAATGTAACATTGGTTGGAACAAATCACTCACATATTCAGTAATGTGGTAGCAAAGATACAAAATGTGTTATTACAATTCATTATCTTTATCATAGTCATCAATCATATATTAAATATGTTATTACAGAGTTTGACAGTCATAAACATACAATATATATACAGTGTATTGGACATGAAGAAATGCGACAAATAAAAATAAACACATTTGAATTTCTGTTCCATTAATAGAGTGGTTTTATGTCACACATGTAAGACTGTTGGAGTGTTAAAGTATTTCAGCTAACTTCATATCACTTCAATCTCTGCTGCCCTCAATTTCTTTTTCACATTATGTTGTCACAAAATAACATAATCAACAATCATTAGCCCTTTAAATTTACATGTCTTTGCTTAAGCTGAAGTGATCACTTGCAAGAGTAATTCAAATGCCGGTAAGCGCCATGTTTGTAGCTTTCAGCCTTGAGTAGGTAAACGTGGAATTTATATAACTTTTGTGGCAGCAAGGATGATGAGGATGATGATGATCAGGACAATCACACCGATTAGGATCATCATTTTAACATTTTTCCACCAGTATTTTCTGGCCACCCTTGTGGATGTTCTCTGGAATGAGTCAGCCTGAAAAGAAAAAAAACTGCCAAATTAAACCCTGATATTTGAGGAAGCACATGCGTCGTTTAAAGACAAGCAATCTCCAGAAGCCCTATAAAGCATCAACCATTTGCACGCTTTAGAGATGAACACGAAGGTTTCTGATTGAGTGATTACAAAGTGATGAAGAATGATGAATGGATAATTAAAACAGGGACCCTAAAATACTAGAAGAACAAACTGAGTCTTTGTTTCCCAAGGATGGTTACATGTATTGCAAAGATGTTTAATGTGCATGAAATACTGAAATATTAAGTATCTAGTGAGAACAAGTTACCATACATATATAAATAATTGAGATGAAATAGATACTAAACTAAAGGGGTGACCGCAGTAGTGTATAACTGTTTAAACATCCTAGCTAAAAGTAACAATAAAACATTTAAAAGTGGGTGAGC